GTTTTGCTCGGGCCGCCCTGAGGGGAGGAGCGGAACGCGGCCTCCTCCGCCCGCCTCTTCCTCCTCCTTCTTCTCCTCCCTCTCCTCCCTTTCCCAGCCCCGCCGCACGGAACGGCAGCGTGGCTGCTGCGCCCTTCGGGCTCTCCATGAGGGAGCAGCCTCTGCCCCCGCCTCCCTCAGGGCTGCAGGGAACACCCTCCACCGCCTCCAGTGAGCGCTGCAGGGCCTTGGCCGCCCCAGCCCGCTCCCTCAGGAGCTGCTCCCGGCGCGCTCACTCGTCTTCCAGCTCGCCTCGCATCGATTTTTTCTACTCGCTCACTTCACTGTTAGCCCTTCTCGCTGCAAATACCCTCCAAAGATACCTCTCAGTGTCCCTCTGAGGAAGCCTTGGAAATTTCCCCGTGCAAAAACGTATTTCAGATGCTGTTATACAGGTGGTTCAGAGCAGAATGTCACACAGTCCGTGAATTACGGTGATAGGAAATTAAAGAGTGACCCTTTTTTAAATTTAACAAACAGATCTTGTTAGTTGTGTCACCGAGGAAGGGTGTACCTCCATAGCCACAAGGAATTTCTGGTTTCCACAAAGCAGAATACTCCAGAATATGCCACAGATCCTCCACTTCGCTGCCACAAGGTGAAGATGTGATGTAATTACTCCAAAGTGCTACACTTAACGTTTTGTCTTACAGTGTGAGCATAATATTTTGTGTGTGGGAGATGGAAAGTGAAGGCATAAGGTTTATCATCTTTTCATCCAAAACTTTTTCTACTTCACCAAGATTTCCTGGTGCTTAGGGTCCCTATCAATGTACTTCTGGCTTTACCAGCATCACTGTAAAAAGATTTGTGTGAGGGTACAGATGGTAATGGTTAATGTATTGGGGGAAGGAATTGTTTTGCATACATGGAGAAGATGGAAATCATGAGGGGAGAAAAGAGCACTGGAAAAATACTTTCAGCAATTACCTGTAAGGAAGTGCTGCAAATGTGGAGGTTGCACCTCGACTTCAGTTTCCATCTAGACACTCAACATAGGTACCACATGCACTTGAAGAGAACCATCAGAGCCTGTGGGAAGAGAAATCCATGCAAGGCAATTCATTATTCTGTGTTGGTCTGAAAATTTGGAAGCCAAAAGTATAAATCAAGGGCACATCTGGAATTCTCTCTTAACATAGCACTTTAAACTGTCTTGAAGAGCAAGGCCTACTGAAGAAAAAAGCAAAAAGGGCATAATTGTGTCATTACATCATCTATTTTGAAACCTCTTAAACCTCTCTGCTTTTATTAACTACAATCAAATATAAATGTTAAATACCTAACACAAGCAAATATGATACAAGTCAGAGACAATTCTCATTCAAGCAGCATATTCTCAAACACTTTGCCCACCTATAAGAAAAGTCGGAGCATGTTCTATCAGACATCTTTAAAGCCTGTCTACATTTCACTTCTCATTATTCTTCACACTGCATTTTCAGCAGTCTGAAAATGTGGCATTATCTCTGTAGAAGCCAGCTGAGCGTCTATTAACTCGCAGAGGAGCTTACATAATACAGAGACTACATATGCAAACAGTAATTTTAAATCATCAGGTTTCCAAACAATTTGGTTTGTTATACATTTATACTATCTCTCTTTCTAAGTTAGTATGATTTAGGGAATTCCTTTGTAATATCCTCTATCCTGGATGGTTTTGCAGCCATGGTTACCAGGGAAAATGTAGTTTCTTTACTGGTTTGGGGTTGGGTTTTTTGGTTGTTATTTTGTTCCCAACAGCAATGAGATTTTCTGCTTTTGTGCTATAGAGAAAAAAAAAAAAAGTCAACAAAAAACTCAAAACCACACTCTTGTGAGCCTCTCATCCAGCACAGTTCCTCCTTCCCTTGAGATACTCAAAACCCTGGGCTTTATTTGTACTGGAAAAGTGGGTCCTTTTCCAAAATATGTGCCCTCCACACAGCCAAAGGTCTAAGAGCATCATCCCCTTTTCTGCAGGTTTGGCACCCTGGGCTCATGGGCAGCCTAGAAACAGCACAGCTGAGGGCTGCCCCTCTTCCCTCCAGTGACTTTGGCATCAGGGCTTTGGGGAGAATTCAGCTAGGCCTCTCTTCCCCCTCACAAGGCAGCTGCATTTCAGGTGAGGCTCTGGTCCTCAGCTCTACTTGAGCTGGAGCTACAGACATGTGGCAGCCCTGTTTGTATCCCTTTGGCCTGGATCGGCTGGCCAGATTCCTGGCCAGACCTCAGATCTGCCTCACTGCTGGGGACTTGCCTGCTGCTGACAGGACTGTGTGTGTCCCTGACTGCCATCACCAGACCTGAATCACTAATTTATGTTGATCTCAGATCTATCCCATTGCTATTGACTTGTCCACCAATCTGGACTCTGTTGATTCCATATCCAGGCTTGTCTTGCTCATGGGATGGGGCCCTGGCTGATGAGGTCCCTGCTCTGCCCCTCTCTCCCCTCTCTGTGTTGTGGCACTTGGATCCCTGTCCCTTAGGGAGCATCTGGCCCTTGCTGCCTCCTGATGCAGAGTACTGTGGCATATATAAGAAAAGATCACCTCCACTGATTCAGATTCATGGTGTATCTGGATGAGAATACTGTCTCTTAGAGGGATCGGTTCTTTCTTCCAAAGTACATGCTGCCCTTCAAGAACAGGATCCAGGTGTAATGAAAAGGGAAAATGGGCTACTCATCTTCATCAAAGGGTCTGAGTGAAGTGTTATAAGTCAGCCAACCTCCATTTGTTATCTGGAAAAGTAATGAAACAGTGCGCAAGCAACTAAATAACAGTCAAGTGATGAGCAGCAGGCACTCTGCATTTGTCCAGAACAAATCATGTCAAACTAAACTAATTTATTTCTTTGCCGAGATAACTGACTTAGTAAGTGCTGAAAGGGATAGGTGAAACATGTTTTGATTCCGTAAGGCTTTTTTCATGGTCTTGAACACCACTCTCATAAATGCAAATTGATCTCAGATGGTATTAACATGAGAGGAATGTGTGATTTAAAAGTAATTTCCAAACTCGTGCAGTGGATATTTTCCTGTCAATAGGAAGGTATATCAAACAAAGAGATTTTATCTGTCTGCTAGGTTTGTTTACTTTCATTAGCAACTTGAGTATTGGAGGTGACCTTTGACTTCAAATTTCTGCAAATAGCACCAAGTCAAGCAGTACCATATTTTGAAGGCAAAGATTTGAACAAAAGTTTACCATTGCTAAATCACAGAAAGAGCCTCAAAATAGTGAGATGAAATTAAGATAAGAATAATGTATAACAATTAGAAAACTTGAATTCTCAAATTAAAAATGAGGGAAAATGTGTTGTGTTTGGTAAGATACCATAATGCACATCTAATCAGGGAAAGCACTTTAAGAAAAACATAACTCTGCATTGGAAAATTTGGTCTATATGAAGAGCCTCTCTTTTGCCACAAAACCAACACAACTAGAGAGGGACAATGCACTGATATCCCAATCAGTGAAAATATCCATGACGCCAAATGACACAAAATTTATTTGCAGCTGCCACAGCTACCTTGGTTTGCAGAACACCATCTTTGGTGCCATGGGTCACATTGCTCTGAGGAACCAGGCATGCCCCTTACCTGCTTTACCTCCTGTTGCCTGAACTCTCCTCTCTGGGAAAAGATGAGTTTCGTAGTGTCCTCCCTCCAGCACATGCTAGAGGGCTGCTGGCCCTGGCAGAGGGACGTGTGCATCTACAGAGAACAGTGGGTGAGAAAGAAGCTGCAGGGTTCAGGAGCCTTGGACTCTACAGCGTAGAGAGGGGAAGCCACACGTCTCCCAGTGCTGCCAGTTTGAAGTCCCCTAGGACAGGTCATGCCATGTCCTGTTAAGAGGCAAGATAGAGTCATAAAGTCTCCTGGTCTGCAGAGTGTGATATTCCAGGCCGAAAGGCAAAATCTTTGTGTTGAATTCTCCATCTTCCAGCAGATCGCAAGTGGTTTATTTTAGCCTTAATGATACTTCTTGGGACTCTGACATAAGGAAGGGTGAGTTGAACCCTGGTTCGAGACAAACAGAACTGACAATTGTTTAGTTTTTTCTCTTGGCAGAAATCACACAAAGGCCCAGAGATCAAAATGGCTCCACAAGGCATGCTGGCTCGTTTTGCTGAGCTTTGCAACTTCTCCTCCAAAGACAACAAGTGACCCCCCACCAGGAAATCTCTCAGCCTTGAAAACAAAACCCCCAACTTGTGGAAAGCTTCTGGGGTCAGAGTCACTACAGTTGGAGACTGCAGGCTGACTTTACAAAACTGTGACTCCTGAAAGTTTATCCTCCGCCTGTAAAACCCTTCTGATTGCTTTATAAGTAACACTCTCTTTTCTTGGACTTAGAAGTGCATCCCTACACCATGGGATCTGACGTGTTTCCTAGGTGTGTTTTCAACAGAGGACCATAAGAGGGTTAACCCATGAGAGAGAGATCCCTTGCCTTTTCACAGCCCAACAGTGTCGCTCTCATCTTGCTGAAAAGGTTAAGAACATCAGTTTGGTTTGTAGCCAGTCCCATGAATGACGCAAAGAAGACATGCACCAAAGCCATTTTCAGATTAATGAAATTACATTTACTGCTGCCTTTCGCACCTTTAGGCTGCACTAAAGGACGACAGCATTTATCCCAAAGTTATGAGAAGCCAAAAATAAAGGTTAGGGAGCGCCCCATACAGGATTGCAGGTGCGAGCGGCAGCTCCAGCAAGCCGGCAAAATATGGAGCCAGGATGCCCCTAACGCGGTGGGCAGGAAGTGTTGAAGCCCTGCAGGTGCTGATCCCCAGGTGCCTGACGATGCCAGCGTGTCCTTGCCCTCACGACACGGCTCCCCAACAGGAAAGGCTCCGTGACAATCGGCGGCTAAGCCAGGCTCAGAATTCGGGGCCGGTCACATAGAGGAGACCCTCCTCCCCTGGGCTGGCCGGCCCGCCGGCCAG